CGAAATTTTCACCTCATTTTTTATTGTTTTGCTAAAAAGTACTGCTAGAGCGATGAAGAATGATGTTTATAGTTTCTTCATATCTCATCTCATTCTCAATTTATCGCACTTTCTATATTTTGAGTTGTGACGTCACTAGTTTGACTTGAGATAATGGTAATAACATGAAAGTCTGATATCTTGATGAGTATTTAATAAAATTCAATGAAACTCAGTACACTTAGAAATTACTATTTATTTCGTTGGAAATGGATCATATAGAAATTGGAAGAGAAGGGATGGGGACGAGTGTGTTGCCATGACAACCATATAAACCAGCCAAATTGTTCACTTCGTTGTACCTCCTAAGTGTGCCAAGTTTCATTGAATTTTATTAAATAACCATCAAGATATCAGATTTTCTTGTTAATGCCACTATTTTGAGTCAAACTAGTGACGTCACAACTCAAAATATAGAAAGTGCGATAACTTGGGAATGAGATAAGATACGAACACACTGAAAACGTTATTCTTCATCATTTAAGCAGTACCTTTTAATAAGACAATAAAAAATGGTGCAAAAATTTCGTTTCATAAGCACTTTATTAAAGCACTTGTAGTCGTGTTTTATCATATATAAAACGTTCGGCTGCGCCTCGCGTTTTAAATATGATAAAACACTCCTACGCGTGCTTTAAATAGTACATAATGATTAATTGTCACACTAGCTCATTCAGATTAAGCAAGTATAGACATGCGACAGAGCTGAGCATATACATCTGGCAACAGTCAAAGGTCAAGTATTCTATAAACAGGCGTATTATAAAACAATGCAAGAGCTACAAAAACACAACTTTTTGTAATCATGGAATCTCAGTTTATGAGTCGTACCAGACATTAAAGCCTGTTTCTACCGGGATAACTTTACACCAATCCTAATCAAATTTTCTCGAAACACTGGACCCACCCAAAGCCCTGAAATCATGTCGCATGAAGTCCGTATAAAAAGTGAGTTGGACATTTTTGCATATGATTCCGAATTCTTTCAGTCTTGTGTGACATCATCAAAAAATCTGCCAAATATATTTTTGTGCGAAATAAGTTTGAAATAACAAGGAAACCAAAATGCCATTTTTAATCGTAACGTAAAATCATATAAATAAATAAAAATTTGGTAACAAGCAGCGAGTCGGCATTCTTACTGTAAGTATATACATAGACAGAAACAATTAACACATACAGGAAAGTATATCTCGACTACAGTCACAATCTCGTTCCTATCCAGGGAAATATTCCGAAGATTTAACTGTTTTCTTTATTTGGAAGGTATTACATGAAGTACACTACAGGAACCCAGATTCAAAGTGGGCCAAAAACCAGTGAAATATGACTGTACTGTTTATTTCATGAACGGCCACAATTTGATACGGTTATCTCCTACTTTCTTGTGCACAATAATGGTAAGAATAAGTTTGTGAACGGGGCCAAGGACAAATAGAAACATATTTGTGAACGAAATAGGGAGATATAACTTTTATGTGCATCTACTGTAATAAAAGGCAAACATGGACACGTGGTTATTGGGCAAAGTGCAATAAACAACACAGTTTGTTCCTGTTAGTTCATATATGCTCTATTTCTTGCTGTTGTTACCAAATGTTTAATATTTAGAACTGTTTCTAGTCACAATATTAAGTGCTGTTTCATGCCTAAACTGCGAATTTCTATTTTCATTGAATTTTGTCGATAATTTCATTAAAAAATTAGTTAGGCCAGCAATTTGGCCCGCGGCTCGCAATTGTTTTAACCCGCAGCCCGCATTTTTCTGTCCGCAGCCCGCAAAATAGCTAGACCCTACTAGGTCTTTATGATCTCCAAGTGTTGCTAAACGTTTTTTTGTAATAATTTTTTGGTAGTTTTGTATGGTTGCAAAGTAAATAAATAAATATAAGGAGGCGAGTTTTACCCATTAAGTGCACGAAATATTTTCACGGTGATGACTTAAACAGTATCTACATATGTGCATTCCATTACAGAACGCTGTAGTCGCAACGCTGCAGTCTTGTCAACAAAACGCTGCAGTCTTTCATAGGTTCTCACCTGCTTTTCGTAGACATCTTCGTAAACCATTTGCAAGAACAAGGGATAAGTTACTCCTAGGACTAGACTGAAGTCGTGTTTGGTTCACTACGTCACAGCAACCATCCTCAAACACCTCTCGAAGTTTACAGAGTAATTTTTGATAACAATGTTTGGCTATTCGCCTATTCTTGTCACACTTACACACTACTCAGGACTCCAAGAATTCGAGGATTCTACGAAACAATGAATTGCACTGGTCGGGCCAAAATTAAAGCAGGAATTAAGGAAAGTGTGAAATTTGGACCCCTGATTTTAGCAGACATGGATGGGGAAATATTTTTGTGACTATTTTTTTTTAATCAGCCCTGAAAATGTGTTAACTCCTTTTTTCAAGGAATGTGGTTCGGAAAATCCTTTTCTTTTCCGCCTCTTCCGCCCCCCCCCCACCCCGCTCGCCACTTTTTTGAAAAATAGGGGCCCCACTTAAAACTGAATGTGACGGGGGCTCTCAGGAGGTTCCGTTACGACACTGTATCTGTAACCTATATGTAATCTGATACTTGAACATTCCGTTCACATCAAACATCACGGTATATAATATATAAACCTTGGCAACAACATACTGTAGGGCGACATTTAAATGAGTATAGCAAGCCTTTGCTTGTCATACGAAACAAGTTTGTAGTGAATAAAATCGTATGAAATAAACCAGGTTTATTTTTTATCTTTGATATTAGCTCTACACTTCGGTATATCGAGCGCTCTATAGTATACTATTGGTATATAATTATATAGGCTATATTGGTATGCATGCAATATATAACTCTAATATATGGAGAGGATATACCAGTCGGATGTGTAGGGTTAATAGATGTAGGGTTAATATTACACAATTATTAGAGTTGCTGTTGAAGACAAAATATTTGTTGCTGATGAAGACAAGATAGTTGTTGGTGTTGAAAATAAGACATTTGTTGGTGTTGAAGACAAGACATTTGTTGCTGTTGAAGACAAGATATTTGTTGCTGTTGAAGACAAGACATTTGTTGCTGTAGAAGACAATATATTTGTTGCTGTAGAAGACAAGATATTTGTTGCTGTTGAAGACAAGGCATTTTTTGCTGTTGAAGACAATATATTTGTTGCTGTTGAAGACAAGATAGTTGTTGGTGTTGGTGTTGAAGACAAGACATTTGTTGCTGTTGAAGACAAGATATTTGTTGCTGTTGCAGACAAGATATTCGTTGCTGTTAAAGACAAAATATTTGTTGCTGTTAAAGACAAGATATTTGTTGCTGTTGAAGACAAGACATTTGTTGCCGTTGAAGACAAGATATTTGTTGCTGTTGAAGAGAAGATATTGTTGCCGTTGAAGACAAGATATTTGTTGCTGTTGAAGAGAAGATATTCGTTGCTGTTAAAGACAAAATATTTGTTGCTGTTAAAGACAAGATATTTGTTGCTGTTGAAGACAAGACATTTGTTGCTGTTGAAGAGAAGATATTTGTTGCTGTTGAAGAGAAGATATTTGTTGCTGTTGAAGAGAAGATATTTGTTGCTGTTGACGACAAGATATTTGTTGCTGTTGAAGACAAGATTTTTGTTACTGTTGAAGACAAGATAGTTGTTGGTGTTGAAGAAAAGACATTTGTTGCTGTTGAAGACAAGACATTTGTTGCTGTTGAAGACAAGACATTTGTTGTAGTCAGGATATTTGTTGGTGTTGCAGGGTTAGAATCGTTAGATGGTTTGATTGTTGTGGTAGAAGGTGGACAAGTAGGGGGAATAGTGGTTGTCTTGATTTTGCTTTGTGGTAACTCTACAGAAAGAATGAGATACCAAGGTTAAATACAGTCAGGAACAGTTATAATAAATTCGATTGCATTTCCGGGGCTCTGTGAGGTCTCAGATTTCAAAATTTCCCAGGGAAACATGACCCCGGACCCCCCTAAAAAACTCACGCCTTCGGCATTCGCTATAGCCCCCCTCCCCAATCCAAAAATTGCTCCGCGGTCCATGAATTTAGTTGATCTCCATCGGAAATTTTACAATCGTCCATGGCTAGCATGTGGCCGGTACAAGCTCATTCGTCAGTCGGTTGAAATGACCTTACGCCCCCCTGAAGAATTTCCTGAGGACGGCCCTGACGCGAGGGAAAACGTCCCGACGAAACTACAATCTTGGACAAAACCCTTGAGACCATTCCAGCCAATATTACAAATTTATTGAACATTGACAAGACAAACTTTGTCTCCCCCTCCCCCTCTCGAAACAACTTTTTGGTATATACCATGATACAAGCTCAACATTGAGTTGGGGAGCGGGGGGTTTAAGAAGAGCAACATGATTCAACATGGAGTTTATCATAAAAATATGCGAATTTTCTTTGGGGGGGAAATAGTCTCAACCAGTTATGTCCAAGATTGTAGACCTTCGCTGAAAACGTCAAAGTTCTGCTTGTATTTTTCAGGTAGTTGTTTCCCGCTAAATCCGCATCCGTGTCTAAATCCGCATCCGTGTGTGTAGTTTTATTTATTTTTATATAATAACCTTAAGAATTAATGCGATTTCATTGGTCGAGAGCCATGATCGTCATTAGTTTTTAAAATGTCGAATATATTTGAAAATTCCACTGAATTTATACAAATTGAATGAATTCATACAATTGAATCTATAAACAACAATAAATACCTTCAATAAATGTGCAAAAATCACTCACAAAAGCTAGCAACTCGGCAAATCTCAATTCAGTCATTCAGCTGCGACTTCAAATTCAATCCGGTCTTCGAAAACAAATACTATTTGATTTTTTCAATTTCATTATATAAAACAAATAGATTACATTTTCCCGTTGTCTGTTCAGTTATAGATACACAGTATGACATCATATGTGTTAAAAACAAAAGGTGACCACTCGCCTAGACGGCTCATGGACACTTTTTGTTCTTACCACATGTGACGTCATACTGTGTATCTATAACTGAATAGACAACTGGAAAATGTAATCTATTTGTTAATGATAACATAGCCAGAAATCCACGCAACGGTTGTCTGGAACGATACGAATCATATATCAGACGTACAGAGGAGAGTTCAAAACAAGATATAATTGTCACACTAACTCATTCAGATTAAGCAAGTATAGACATGCGAGAGAGCTGAGCATATACATCTGGCAAGAGTCAAAGGTCAAGTATTCTATAAACTGGCGCATTATAAAACAATGCAACAGCTACAAAAACACAACAAAACGCCGCAGTCTTTGTACACATGACAAATACTGTCTCTGAAAATAACTCTGTCCTTGAAATGAAGAAATGAACTTTTATCGAAGTGTAGACAAAGAACCAAATTTCTCTTAAGCAATACACATTATTTTATATAATCTGTATAAGTGGCGTAAATGTTCCCCGGGTGTCCAGCGATCGGGCGGGGGCACGTCTCAGTTGGGCCCCGGCAAAAATGACCATCACATTTTTACTAGTAAATTGGGCAAAATGACATGAGCCTCAGTTATAGAGGGCCCGAAATTTTGCAACGGGTGGGACCAAAAAGCAGGAATTAAGGAAATTGTGAAATTTGGACCCCTCATTTTAGTAGACATGGATGGGGAAACATTTTTGTGACTATTTTTTTTAATTGTCACATCCCTGAAAAACGTTTCAACTCCTTTTTTTCAATGAATATGGTTATGAAAATCTTTTTCTCCTCCCCCCGCTCGCCAAATTTTTTTTTGAAAAAATAGAGGCCCCACTTAAAACTGAATGTGAAGGGGGCCATCAGGAGGTTCCGTTACGACACTGTATCTGTAACCTATATGTAATCTAGTAATTGAGCATTCCGTTTACATCAAACATGTATATAATATATATAACCTTGGCAACAACATACTGTAGCGCGACATTTAAATGAGTGTAGCAAGCCTTTGCTTGTATTACGAAACAAGTTTGTAGTGAATATAATCGTATGAAATAAACCAGGTTTATTTTATTTCATCTTTGATATTAGCTCTATACTTCGGTATATCGAGCACTCTATAGTATACTATTGGTATATATATATATATATATATATATATATATATATATATATATATATATATATATATATATATATATATATATATATATATAT